GTACGAGCAGACTCCAATGTGGCTAACTTGTGCTGGGCCTTGAAGTGAGTAGCCTTTCTCAGCGTCTGTCGAGTGGTGTATTCATTTGAGCGGATGAGGGCTTAGTGGTCATTTTCGAGGCTGGAATAAAAATCTGAGCTCGGACTGTCAATGAAGAATCCGACAGGATGTGGGCTACTCTTTTGTTGTTCTGAGCAGTCAAGGATCGTGGATGGAGCGGAGTGTGTGCTGAGTATAATTATCAGGGTGCCAGATAAATCTTCGAATGCATTAAGGAGAACGACCAAGTTATCGTGCGATTTCTAGATTGGAACGTTCATTATCATGCAGAACCTTGATCTGAGCTTGCTCATCTTCAGGAAGAAGTATGGCGCGAATTGACATGATGACGAAATGAAAACAGCAAAGTCGGATTGAAATCGGTGGAAAATTCGGCGCCAAAATCTGATCTTCTTCAAGTGTGCACATACTTTTGAAACAAAGAAAAAAATTTCATCCAAAAATTTTTTCCGAAAGTGAGGCGATATTATCTGCTTTGCTTCCATTGATAGGTTATCGACTACGAGAAATCGATTGAGAAGGATTTCATAGCACGAAACCTCATGGTTCCCTTTCAAACGTGAATTTTGAGGGTGTGCACATACTTTTGAAACGCACTGTATATGTTGATATAATATATGTAGTTCCTCATGGATTGCCTCTTATTAGCGCGAGCTACTAGACACGTTTCATATCATTTGGGCCAAAAATACAAGTTCCTACATGCTTTTCCATTAGTTCCGAAGGGTTTGTTCCGAGGATGTTCATCCAGTGTCTTTAAGCTCCATACTATGCAAAGAACCAAATGCTTTTCTTCAGAATTACATCATGGAAGCTTCGACAATTTCTCAAACTTACAGTTTCGGTGGTGATGAGACGTGTGAAGACTTCCGTAAAGTACTTACAAAGGTTAGCCATTTTCGAACAACTTGAGGTAAATTATGATTGGGGTTTCCGAATTAGCTATGTTGGAACTTTTC